TTAAAGTCTTTTATAGCTACTGACTGACAGCAAGCGTTGGGAAAATAAAAAAAGCCACCCCTGGGATTCGAACCCACCGCCTAACGATCAGGTAACCGCCTACTTAACCAGTCGGCTAAGGTACTGTTGGTATTTGGCAGGGTGAATTGTAGTTTCTTATAGCTACTGACTAAGAGTAAGCGTTGGCAAAATAAAGAGACGCCACTGGGATTCGAACCCACCATCTACCGATCAGATAACCGCCAGCTTAACCAGCCGGCAATTTCAGAGAAAAAAAAAATTTCATTCATAGTGTTAGTTCACGCGAACACCATGCAAAATCTTGAAAATTCGACAAGGTGGGGGGTGAGCACTTTCACAAATCTTGGCTATATGATCCCCACTTTGCACGATATCACCTCGTGTGGTGAAGTAACTCGATTTATTATCGAAAAGGGTACTGGTAGTATTTCTGTTGAGTTACTTTCACGCATTTTAGCGTATAACAACAGCCACGTTTGTGCGCTTAAAGTTTTATCATTTATCATCAAATTATATATCAAAAGAAAGATCCTGTTCTGCTCTACAGGAAATAAAAAATGATGATGTGCAATCATTCACTGCAAATGTCTAGGTATTAGAAAAACATGTGTCAGCTACTTTGAGGAAAAGAGTCATTTACGCGTCATCCGCCCCGAGCTGAAGTGCACCCTCAATCGGCAAAAAGAAAGACAGGGGAATACAAGCGGGTTCTTGCATGCGTTGTGCGTGTACGCAAAGACTATACACACCGGAATAAATCAGTTACGCGTACTCCGCGTCAAACGCGCATGATTATACTTGCGCACCTCATGGGGCCGGGCGCCTATGCGGTGAGCACCAAAAACACGGCCTCTTTTGTTCCACTCGGAGCAGATAGTACAGGACAGATAGTCGCCAACTTGGTCAAAATATGGTTTAGATATACATCTAAAATAATAAAAAATAAAACGTTTCTCAACTCTTCCCGCTGCTGTGTTTGCTAATGGTCAACAAAGAAGAAAAATCTTCAATGTGAGATCACTCAAAGTTACTCAAAATTTGTATGCTCTCAAATTCTCTACGAAATGGAACATTTTGTGGCCCATAAACTTAAAAGAGAAAAGATACGTTTAGGCGGGCAAAACGGTACCTGAAAACGGTCTATTTTTCGAGAAGTGTAGACATCGGTTTTTCAAAATGCCAAAAGGCTTCACGACTTCACGAAGGGGTAACCTTGCGTGGGGAAAAAATGTCTTCAAAAGTCATCTGTCAGTGACTTGAAATTTTGAAAAAAAAATAAACATAATAATGGGCTTTCATTTAATATGTGTCTCGAACACCTGAGAATCTCGTCAATATTTTTTCAGGATTTTTTGAAGTTCTGGTATTTATCACTTTCGGCTGTGGCAGTTTATTTTTTGCCCTGTGCAGCTCTCTGGGCCACAACCAGAACGTTCTGAGATGCGCCCTAGCCGTTACTCGGCTGATATGGACTTTTTGCTATCACGGGCTTTATTCAGTAGCATATTTAGGCTTGGGGGCCAAATAGGATTTTTTTTTCGAATAATGACTGTCTAACTTTTTTTCCAACACTGAGGAACCCCTGCCCCCGCCCTTCAGAACGGTAGTACTCCCCCTAGTCGTTTCAAATGTATGACGGCTTTTACCTCCTGCGAAATATAATAATGAATTGTCACTGTCTCTCCGCCCTCTGCCCCCAGCTGGATATGTCATGACTTACTTTATTTAAGAGCTGGTCGTTTTTAGATTATATTAGCTAAATCAATTTTTATATATTAAAACACTATCTTTAGAAAGAGAGAGTGTCACACTATTTAGTCATTTATTTTACATTACTAAAATAAATCACTTTTATATATCTTTATATGATTTAGAGCTGCCTGTCGAAGCACAAGAGTGTTATTTTCATCATCTTCATTCCTTCACGTCTTACGTTTGGAAAAATAATTACAGCGACCACCCTGCTTTTTATTCAAGCTGGCCACCTCTCAAAAAAAGTTAAAAGGTAATTTTTCTATTCTTCGGTGATTCACTGCTGTGTGCGTATATGGCAATAAGCAAGCAATCATCCCTTTCTTGGATGTTTTCAGTGATTAAATTCTGGTTTCACAATT